TGCCAGAAAATTCAAAGAATTTATATCTTCGTCCAAAAATTTTCATCGGATCTTCCACTCTCGCGCGAATCACTGGTAGAAATTCACTTGTGCCACCTATAATTCTTTGCCCTAAACGCCCAGAAAGGCTTTACCAATGCGATACTGTGCTGATCTCGCATAAGTAGATGTATACTACCAGTCTTTAGAAGTACAAGCAAACTCCAGCCCTCCGAAAAGTTTTTGTTTCCAAAATATTGATGACATTGTAAACCTGGAAGACCAATGCAAAAAAAGATTTGAAACTTCTTGAAAAATACTGCAGAAAGCCGAAAGTTCAGCCTCAATTTACTATTGTAATAAAACACAGATCACTTTGGCAAAAACGATTTCGACTTGAGGTGTAGGGAAAGTGATGCGAAAGATTACAGGCCATCTTACAGACTTGTTTTGCTCTATCGGACGTATATTATAGATTCTAGAATTAAGAAATGTACGAGTTATCGCAGGAAAAGGCCAAAACTGGAAAGCTCTTAGGACGTCTAAAAAATCGGACATATTTCAAGCAATTTCATCGCCTCGCCATTCTCCTAGCAAGATAATTGTTACCAGTTCACTGCATGCCGTGCATCTTGCATTTCGTTTGTGTTAATTAGTAGTAGTAACCCGTAGTAAACCCCTCGTGGTTGTCACAACATAGAGGGACTATGTCGTGATAGCTCAGAGTATCTCGCAAGACTATAGCGAGCTATCCGCAGGGCGCCGCAAAACGAGCGCCTCCGCGCGTCATCGAACCGCTGATGACCGCGACAACAGCGCTCACACGCGCTGCGCTATGAGTACAGATATGCCGTGGAGTATTTGTTTAGCAAGGCAAGAATGCAGTGTGCTATTGTTGCCAAAGCAGGTAAATCAATCAGAGGAAATCCAATAACTGACCATCCTCGCGTGAGCGCGCCTGTTTCTCCATTTTTAATTCCATGCTACACTGTCTTTTGCATTTTGCTGGCAAATTAAATTTTGCAACGGAACGTGAATCAGAACTTCCTTTCAAAAAAGAGAAAGCGGAATTTGAGACGTACAATACATATGGAAAATGCATAAGAAAAATCAAAATAGTATCATCAGCATTCAGTTCGTTCAAAAATGGGCTATTCCATCAGCAATAACGCCAGACGGTCCTTTCTCATAAAAACGAAAGGAAACGAGAGGTGCATGGCTAACGAACGGCAAGTCAGCAAGGATATGTGGTCGAAACTACCCCAAGATTGAAGAAAAGATCAAGAATTTGCAAAATTCGGCACGGAAGAAGGGATTCCTTGCTCAAACAAGTGCATTGCCAAATAAAAGAAGAAAAACTGCATAGGTACGAAAAATATGACCAAGTTTGAGTCTAATATATTTTCTAGTCAAAACAAACTCACCATTTTCAAATTCCAAAGCGGCAGCAGCAGAAGTACCTAGAGAATAGGGAGAGGCGCATTGCTCGGACTGTTAGGCGGCTATCAGCTGTTGATATTGATTGCAGTTGACGTGCACTACAGAGAACTGTGTGCATGTGCCCTATTGCGAGGTTGGCGTAGTCGAGCTCTAGTCTTGCGCTATGTCTCTGCGTCTCCATGATATACAAAGTATTTCGCCGTCTCGTCCGTCACGACATGTCGCAATATGTCGCTATATGTCGCGATATGTTGCGACATATAGCGACAAAGTGGGACTACCCTGGCGCTTCGCATTGATTGCATCCGCCGGCAATGATAAAGGATAGCCGCCTTGCCTGCCTCGCTCCATGGTAGTCAGCACATGTCACAGCAGACTCCGAGCTATACGTCAGCACATACGGGGGGTTTACTACAGGCCTTTGTTTCCAAAATATTGATGACATTGTAAACCTGGAAGACCAATGCAAAAAAAGATTTGAAACTTCTTGAAAAATACTGCAGAAAGCCGAAAGTTCAGCCTCAATTTACTATTGTAATAAAACACAGATCACTTTGGCAAAAACGATTTCGACTTGAGGTGTAGGGAAAGTGATGCGAAAGATTACAGGCCATCTTACAGACTTGTTTTGCTCTATCGGACGTATATTATAGATTCTAGAATTAAGAAATGTACGAGTTATCGCAGGAAAAGGCCAAAACTGGAAAGCTCTTAGGACGTCTAAAAAATCGGACATATTTCAAGCAATTTCATCGCCTCGCCATTCTCCCAGCAAGATAATTGTTACCAGTTCACTGCATGCCGTGCATCTTGCATTTCGTTTGTGTTAATTTTCTGACACGACTAACCGAGATTAACTATCACAACCGAGATGCAAGATGCTCATCATGCAATGAAGTGGTAACAGTTGTCTTGTTGGGAAAATCGATGGGCGACGAAATTGCGTGAAGTATGCCGGCCCTCGGTACAATCTTATAGGGCATTCTGACTTATGGAGTGATACCTCATAGCCATGTTGAAGGTATAATTTAATTTTGGTGTAAAATTATATAGGGGCCTGCAGGATCGCGAGAGTCGGACGCGCGTACGGCCTTTGCGCCGAGCACGCCTGATATCGCTGGGTCGTAGTCGATTAAGGCTAGATAGGTAAGTTTTTTTGTTTTTCTTTACATTTCACGCCTTCTTTTCTTTTCAGACGGTGAGCACATGTTGGTGCGGAGGAGTTTAAGATCTGAATTGAGGTGAGGTGCAGAATTATGCTTAATACGGACTCAATATTGCAGACCTTCCATGCCTGCTGGTTGAGATGTTGGATTTTCTGTCCTGGCTGCCCTGTTACAGCAAACTGTTCTATTTCTACCGTCTATTCTACCTTATCTTGCATATTGCTTGTGATGATGATGATGATGATGACAATGATTATGATTGTGGTGACGTGCATGATGCAAGATGAGGTAGAACAGACGTTGCAAATAAAACGGAGTTTCGTAACCGGGCAGGCAGGACGAAAAATCGGACATAATCAGACAGCCAGAACAGAAAACTCAACATTCTTCAAAGCAGGGGTGAAAAGTCCACAATATTGGCCCGCATTGAGCATAATCCTGCACGTCACCTTAATCTAGATCTTAAACTCCTCTGCACCAACATATGTTCGCCGCCTGAAAAGAAAAGAAGGCGAGAAATGAGAAGAAAAACAAAAAAATCTCACCTATCCAGCCTAAATCGAGTACGACCCAGTGACATACGACGTGCGCGGCGCAATGGCCGTACGCACGTCCGACTCTCGCGATCCTGCAGGCCCCTATACTCCACCTAATATGCACTGTTTGATTATTGCTACATCTTTCCTAACAGTTTCTTCCAAGCAATGAATACACTTTTATAGAGCTGCCTAAACTTGCATCTATAGTATTTCGAAAATTCTGAGGTCATTAAGCAAGGTCAATTCTCAATGACTTTATTACTCTCAAGTTTGTAAAGTTTTTGAGTGATGTAATCATGGTTCTGAGGAACTTGAAAAACAGCTACTATGCTACACCTAGAGTGATTTATAAACGTACCATTATCCCAAAAGTGCGACCTTCACATTTGGTGTTAGCGAACCTGAATAGACTAGAGCAAAGCTTTGAGTTGTTTGGTTTTCTTCCTGGGATGAAACATAATTTTAATGGCTCGAATCTCTTTTAAACGTTCGTACAGTAATCTCACAGTAACGAAGACCGATCGATGATTCACTCCACACTGTAATTCTAAGTTGAATCTATCTTTGCCAAATGCTTCCTAAACGTCAACAGAGGTTGTGTGTAAAAAGAACGATTAACCTTCAAACAGAGTGCACGTGCTCACATACGAGTTCAAGAAAGAAGCCACATGGCAGACGAGAAAAAAGTGCAAGTTAAGTGCAAGTTCTAGTTGTTTTTGTACAAAAGACATAACTTGAGTTGTAGGTCCCCCATGGCATTACCGAAACACTGCCCCCCTCCCCCTACCGTTTGCAATCTTTCCATGTTCCCTCCTGACTTAACATGCTAAATATGCTTCGCTCATGAACAATGCTCTTGCGTTAATGCAATTCTTCCTAACTCTCATTTTGAAATCACCTATGTTCTAAGTCCGAGAATCATCGCAATTATAGAAGAATACGCCTTTTGTGGGTTTTTTGTCCCATTGGAACAGACTAAGAGTTCTAGTATTTGGCAGATTTAAAAATCAAGGAATAACATTATTCAGATAAGTTTTAGAACATAGAAGGTCAACTAAGCTATAACGTTGAAGAATTTTATGTACGATAAGGGGCTACACAATATAATGGCCATCTACTAAATTATCTCTTCATTACTAGGAGGTATTGCAAATTTGCGACCTTGAGTAGTTTACGACGAGAATAGTATTACTGCATGCTAGGCACAATCTGCCTCACCAGGATCTTTGGCTATGTGGTATTTTCAAGTTACTAATAAATAACAAAAAGATGATCAAGATATATTTGAAGTTTCATCTACTGTTTTTGTCAACAATTTTGTATTTTTAGCTAGTATTTTAAGGCGATTTGTACTTAAGGTATAACACATCCTCATTGAGAGAACGTTAGATCATATTTTACTACGCTTGAAATTTCTATGTCACACTTCAAAAAACTTGTTGCTAATAAAAAAATAAGGTTATCAATGTAAATTGGTCTTGCCTTCTTGACTCTTTCTAGCAATGATAATTATGCCATTTGAAAAAAATTCTTGGAAATTTTGCGACGTTTACAGAAAACAGGAACAAGAAAGAGTATTGCTTAACAAGATTGCCTCGCAATGCGGTAGTGAAGTGCATCTATAGTGAAGCACATGCCTTTGGCCTGCGTACCAGAGATCGTGCTATGATCCCCGCGTTCACGGATGACTCACTCCACAGATTATGTCTCCATCGAACGACAACGAGTGTTGGCACTTTTTTTGCTATAATCGACAATTTTATGAAAAATTTTCCGTATAAAGCCTGAGGAATGTGTGAACACCATCCGAGATGTGGTTCTATTGTTTTCTCATTGTAAGTTGCATCCCTCAAGATATGATAATCATTGATTGCTGATTAGGTGTGGGCGCTTACTTCCGCATCCCATGGGACGTCCGCTTCTGACCCCAAGATCAAAAACAATTCTTGCGAAGGCGAAAGCATCACACTAAATAGAAGCAGAGTTTCATCAAAGACGTTCATTCAGAGCTGGGATCTCCTGGCTGCAATGCAAGACTCCTGCAATCACTATTATCGCGGGTGGTACCAAATAAACCAGAATCTGGTGAGAATTTGATTACAGCTTCAAATCTCAGAGAAACACCGGTTGCGCGAATTTGACGACTTCCAGGCTGACTCCAATCAAATAACCCAAATGAACTGTACCTTACTAAATTAGATGTTTTTTGAAAGCTACCACATACAAGATATTTTTCCGTTCAGAGGTACAGTCCGCTATTGGAGTGTCTGCTCAAAACTGAGTATGCAAATCGTAAATACGACCACATCAAGATTTGGGACGTATTCGAAGTAAGGTAGGAAGTTGAAAGTGCTTCTTTAGCGGATTCCCAACAATGCATGGATAAATTTTAGAGTTATGGACATACGCGAGAAGAACCGGGTTGACAGGGGTTTTATAGACAGAGCTGTGTGGGAGAGATATCGTCTTTGCTATGTGAGTTATTGTTAGCAATATAACACTTTTCTCTTGCTATAGAGCAAGCGATGGAGTCGACATGGTGGATTTTACTATGCTTTCCCATCATCTTGGTTCGTCTTATGTCACGTAGTCTTTATTTATTTTCCAAAAAAAAAAACATTAGGGTGAAATCCAGTAGAGAAAAGCAAAGGATATAAGATAGCGGCCAAAATTTATATAGAACCATCCAACGTTAAACTAAAATTTACAAAATTGTATTTGTCCATGCACTTTCACGATCTTCCAAAGTGGCCCCACGATGCTGTACTTTCTACAACTAAAAATTCAAACAAACCAACAACGCAGACAAGTCAAAATACGAAAAAGAAGTTTTTTTCAGTTTTCGATAACTTACAATGCTTACGATAGTGAAAATTCATAATTCTACTTTCAATTCGTGAAAAGCAATTTGTGTTTCAATTTGCAGACAACATTATCAGCAACTCTATGAATGTCTGAGATAAATTCCAATTCTTCGATTTGAAAACTCATGAATTTTTGACCTAAGCATGCATAAAATTGGGCTGCTTTTGCTTTGCATTATTGAATAGTACCACGATTTTTTTGAAAAATAAACGAGCATAAGTTTTTGCTTGACGGACGAAAACTATAGGGCAGTTTAGTAATTGAGAAAAGGTTCAAAAAGTACCATCAGTACACACTCAGCCATAACTTACAGACTATAACCCTTGTGTTGAAGCCTGTAAATAATGGCTCCGCCTTTACTTGTTGGTGATTTGTGGAAGAAGTGTTGACGAGTATGTACAACACCCAGTCTTTTCCAGCCCCTCTACGTACAAAAACGCTATCCATCGTGCTTGTACGCCACTCCGCTCTAAGCCCTGCAATTTCTTTGAATCCAATTGTTTTTTTAACGAGATTAACAAAAACGTTGCAGTCAGCCTCAATGAAGAAGCTAAACAGAGTCTTCGCGTGCACAACATACAAAAGGAAAGGGACGGGATTGTACCACGAACATTATACTCCGATGTACGGATGCGCATTTGACAGTTCTGAGGAATTGAGAAAGTTGTTTCGTGCAGGAAAATCTTTAAAGTAGACCTTTGAAATGTTGAACATAGTTGATCTTCATGACATCTTCGCGCAATAATGGGAAATAAAATTTCATCAACGGTTATCATTCATAAAGAAACATCGTTGTAAAACTATGAGTTTTAACAATGATTATAAAAACTATAATATCAAAAGGATGAGTAGTTTGATGACGCCATTAATTGATGTAATCATACTTCGTCCTGTCGAGCTTCGTCCCGTCGCGTTTAAAGATCATCACCTGGAAGACACTGCAGTTTCGTGTGGAGCTTGTCTTTCACACTGTAGATTGTAATTGGTGCTTGTGAAAATCGGTTGCTTGATCGATATAGCAACGATAAATTTACACAGTTCATCTACGGACGTTTGATCATTAATGTACATCATATACTGCGGTCAAACAATAGAGCATCTTGTTCTCTCTGTATAACAAAGTGAAGTTTCATTTGCTCTACGTTTTACTTTGATCTACGACCACAGAAAAAATGGGCATAAACCCCGCGAGATCCATCGAGTTTTATTTAATTGCATACTCTGAAACGAAAACATGCGTACTCTTAAAACCTCTTTCTCTATACATATTCTAGTCTTTAAGCTTTTGGCTGAAGAGCTCGGAGTCGGCACGGGAGAGGCGGACAAGTGAGCATAATGATAGCAATTGCAAAATTCATCCTTGTTGATAATATCAACTCTTCACCTTCAAAATGAGACACCGGAAGTTGACATAAGTGTTGTGTGAGCACGCTTTCTACGAAATGGTAAGAGCGTGCTGTTCTCAAAGAGGCCAATCGTTTTGAAAACTATACGTTCTTCTATGAATTTCATTGATTTTGGCGCACTCCAAGCTTGAGCGATGGCGTTCGGCGGCTTCGTTTAAAATAATCTACTGTCGTTGCTTGGATATCTTTCACAAAGTTCAAGCTGAGAGCAGGGATTTGGTACGAAAGCTAGTTGAGCATGCTGCATTCATCGCATCTGTTTTTGGAACTTTGAGTTTCTCTCCCGAGATTGATAGAGAGAGATAGAGAATGAGAAGTTGATACGTTGTTTATAGAAACATGAAGGGCAGGGAAATGACGCATAGCAAACAAGTACACGTGTTTGAGAGTCGGACAGAATGTTGAATTTCATGAGTTTTGCCGTGTATTGCCGAGGAGGAACCAAACGAGCCGGATGTGTCACCGTTTTCTGTAAATCACACCTACTTCTATGTGGAGGCTAATAAATGACGTCTTGTATGAATTACTTCTAGGAATTGCTTCCTAGACGCCTTCAAACAACTGTAAATCGAAATAAATGTTTAATACCAACAAAATGAAAAAATTAATGGCGTAACAGACGAATATGTAGTGGTCAATTGCGCGTTCCTTAGCATCCGTAGGCAACCATTTTTCTTCGCCAAAATCACTTTTTATTGAAAGACATATACAGAGTGTCCCAAAAAGATGTGCACACTGTTTGATCGTTGATAACTCTTTTGCTTTCACGCCTTTTGCCGAGCTTGAAGTAACATACTGTAGAGCGAGGTTCAACTTAGATTTACAGTATGGAGCGAATCACCAATCGCTCCTCATTGCTGTAGGATTACGGTATGAAATTTCAGCATACAGCGTCACTGTGGCATAGGTCTTTAGATGAAATATGTCCAAAAAAATCTGAAAATTTCTGTAGCAAGGTTTTCAGGCGTGCTGATTTCAGTACATAGCTTTTTACCAGTTTTTTGAGCTTTTTTGATGGCATGTTCATATTTCTGACGAACATTGGAAAAACAGTTGTTACCCTAAATCTGAAGTAACTCATGAAAGAAGCATTGTACTGAAGTGCAGATTTCATATTAAAAATCAGCGCCTTCAATTAGCACAGATCGAGATTTTCCGGCTTGTTTGGCTTTTTTCTGGGGCAAAATACCGCATTCAATGGCATAAAATCCTTCTCGAATTTCCTACCGTAATTCTACAGTAGTGTAGAGCCATTGATAATCCGCTCCATATAATAAATCTAAGTTGAACCTCGCTCTACAAAATGGTACCTCAAGCTCGGCAAAAGACTTGAAAGCAAGAGAGTTATTAGCGATCAAACAGTGTGCACATCTTTTTGGGACACCCAGTATAATGGAACCAAAAGAGAATTACAAAAAACCGTAGAATTAGTTTCTAAATCAAGTTTCAACACCCACTCACTGCGCTTAATGCTACAGAAGTCTCTACTGAGACTGAGCAGACAAATGCGATTGGGATGCTTGCTCATTGACAAACACGAAGTCCATAGTCTTGGAAGCGAATGCGCTTCTATTCAAAACCGACCGCTCGCTTTACCAAAACGTTAGCGTTTCAGAAAACAAGACACACTGTACAAAATGGTTTCTCTAGAAACGGCTGTTTTATGAGAAATGAACTACACAAACTCTAAAAGGATGAGAATTATTAAGCAATCACATTCATTGAAATCACATCTGTGGCCTTCAGATGTAACAACTGGCAGAGCTTCATCAATCGTTATTGTTGCCTTTCCAAACGAAGTTTCACCACTTCATTCAGGATTCTCCTATAGGTGGTAAAAGGAGAACAACAAGCTCGTTTCTTCTTCTAATGTATCACACAGTTTTTATACATTTCTAAACAAAGCATGATCTCATTTTCAGTTGTAAAACAAACCTTGATTTTTATGTACTTAAGCACAATTTTCGAACATACCTGTCTCACTTTCTAAATGCGTTTGACTTCCAGCCTAACGTAGTTTTGGCTGGAACCGTCAGTTTCCATTGTAGCCTTCAGATAGTCAATGGTAATATTATAGCTTTGTAGTTCCACGATTATCGTGCTAGGTTAATATGAGTCTTGCCGTGTTCAAGCAGATAAGTTAGAGGTCTATGGTCAAAACGATGTGAGTTAGGCTGCCATATATTAGGCTGAACCAAAAGTTCTGTCGCACGATTTTCAAAAAATCATAACTTCTTTCCGTCACGACGATCTTGCGCAATTCAAATTTTACCTGAAAGCGTAAAGAATGTAGTTTTTAAATGTTCTCTGGCGACTTTCCAGCATGCTCAGGTTGCAGAGATAAAAATGAAAGAATGAGATCATCCAAAATTCGGAATTTTTGAGCAAGAATTCTGAAAATTCAGAAACTGTGCGATAAAATCCATAAAAGCCATTATCCTAATTTTTCTTATATTTGATTACTAACTGAGTCTGATAGATAGAGATAGAGCCCTCTTTCAAAAGTTATGATTTTTTGAAAAAAATGCCGAAAAATCAATTTTCTAAGATTTCTTAAGAAATTGATTTTTCGGTTTTTTTTTCAAAAAATCATAACTTTTGAAAGAAGGGCTCGATCAGTACAAACTTGACTCGGTTAGTAATCAAATATAGGAGAAATTAGGATAATGGCTTTTCTGGATTTTATCGCACAGTTTCTGAAATTTTAGAATTCTTGATTAAAAATTCCGAATTTCAGATGATCTCGTTCTATCATTTTTATCTCTGCGACCTGAGCATGTTGGAAAGTACCCAGGGGACATTTAGTAACTATATGCTTTACGCTTTCAGATAAAATTTGAATTGCGCAAAATCGTTGTGAGGGAAAGAACTTATGATTTTTTGAAAATCGTGCGACAGAACTTTCGGTTCAACCTAATATTATTGGTTAAAAAAACATAAGGCGCTTATTAGGTGGACAACTCAGTATGTGTAGGATTCCACTTTCTGGGCTTTTAAAAGAGTTTTGCTAAAGTAGTCCATCACCGCTTCGTCGCTATCTCTGTCCCTTTCTGATTGGTGCTGCGTTAAAACTGCGCCAGTTGCTACTTGACAGCCGTCGGTATGTAGGACAAATTCTATGTCTTGTGGAAACGGTTCTTGTCAAATAATTGTCATGATCTGATCTTGTCAAATGATCGTGTCTTGTCAAATGATTTGCTTCGTAATTTCGGAAATATAAAGTAATTTAATAGCGAATACTGTTTGAAACGCCTCTCAGGGATTCGCATCGTGCGGGCGGTCTTCCTACAAGGGCTAGCGTAGCAGCGGTCGACATGACATAAAGCTTCCGTGCGTGCGGCAAACAACCGAAGCACCGTCCAAGCGAGAGACAATGTTACCGTGCAAACAGCCGGCAATACTTTTGCTCGAGCGAGCGGCCAGCTAAGTCGACTCCCCAGCTTTGGCGAGGCGGAATCGTGATCTTCACTGAAGATCGATGGATCAGGTATGCCTCAGCACAGGGCAACCGCAACGCAAGGCACGCTAGCGCAGCTCCGCCTCGCCAAAGTTGTGGAGCCGCTCATATGTGTCCTTCTTATCGGCCGGCAATACCTGTTGCTGTGCAAGCAGCCAACAGTGACCTTTATCTTCTTCTCACAATTTTCACACATTGTGAGCCTAAGCGATACCTGCGTGAGATACGACGCATTGCATATGCTGCCCAAAGCATTGACATTATTACTATGAACATTTACTTCACCAGCAAGGTGGGAGGAACCTGTGTGGTGCTACATCCATCATAGTCATGGTGATGGCTTCCCCATGAAAGATCTGGAACAATAATGCAGGCATCATACATGTCCCAAGAATGTAAGCGACTAACAATCCAAGAAAAATGGTCAAGATATCCCACTCGAAAATACCCCAACAGCAAGAGAGCGGCCGATTTTCCGCAAACGGCGAGCGTTAGAAACCTGCGTGCACCCCACGTTAACCGCACCACCGGCCCTTGACGACCTTACAGTCGCTCACACCAACGAGCGTTTGCAAGGCCGTTGCTGACCGCCCGCACGGCGCGAGTCCCTGAGTGTTGTGCTCACAACTTGGCGATTGTGAAGGAATTCATTGTTTTATTGAATTGTTTTATCACACCATACTCTCAAAGTGTGCCAGAATTTGAAGAAGAAGATCTTTGATTAGCTAGCACATCTCATTGGAAGCTATCAGCCCTACCCTCACCTTTATTCTCAAATAAAATATCTTTGCAGTTACAGACAAGGTGCTATCTTCTTTATGTATAACATGGGAATCTTGAAGAGGATTTTTTTGGGAGTGGCTTTATTTTTTTCTTTCTACATATCTCAGTGCGAAAGAAAGAGGAG